ATCTCTCTCTCTCTCTCTCGCTCTCTCTCTCTCTCTCTCTCTCTCGCTTTCTCTCTCTCCACTCTCTTCCGCCCAGAAAAATAAAGGTAAACGACAATGAAAAGAAACAAAAAAGCTGCCCCGAACAGTTTCAGACACATTAAGTTGGCAGATACCGACAGTTTCTTTTAACGACGCCACATTTTTGGTCCCCGCCTGACGGTATCTATAAACTGCGTCGTATCTTTGGACGCCGCCCTCTCGCGCGTATAAACAATGCCAGGCTTGTTCTCAGCCTATTAAAATTTTTGTTGGGGACTTCTGTTCTCTGTTCTCTGTTCATCCTTCTCTTTCAACTGTTTTGTTTTCGTTCCATCTCCCTACCTGCCTTTCTATCCGCTGCACGCTATTTGTTTTCCGCCCCTTGTATTTCTAAATCGCTCGTCAAGATTCCCTGCTCGTGAAATAACAGATGTTTCTCTATCTGGCGCCTGATCTTCTCGCCTGATCTTCCCGCCTGTTATAGACAGACACGTCAATGTTAACACGCCACTCTTCTCGCCTTTAAAAAATGTAACTTCTATTTTTTCCCCTCCTATCGGCACAAATTAGATTATTTAGGAGGCGGGCTTCAGACCCTGCCTGCCAAGGCCAACAAGGATTGAGAAGTACAAATGATCACCACAGTAGAAAGATCGAGGTACTCGATAATAATTTCTACCCATTCTGGAATGCGTGGAAAGGGACATGAGAGAGATGAAGCTCACTTGGAATTAGCTTAGAAGTATGGCCCAGGACAGAGATAAACGGAAGGAGCTTGTATCTGGCCTATACACTGCCAGGGGTGAAAGGCATTGATTATTGATGATGATTCTGGAATCGAACTCTGGACTCCGTGTGACAGCAAAACATCTCACTTCTAACTACAGACTCCGGTCTCTTCTCGTCAAAAAGTGAAAAATAGTAAAGGTTTATTACCCATATCAACGCTTGTCCTTGTTCTTATTATCATTCTGGCGTCAGGACTGGAGGCGGGGCCTCTGATTTTAACGTCCATTTCTGAAAGGTCCGATCCAAATAGAAAATCCGCAATGTCCCAAGGACACAGCGTCGGACCGAGCTCATCAGATGTCCCCAGAACATAACGTAGCCG